TAGTTCAGGGTTTTGAGGGTATCCAAAGTTTAGTGATTGGGTATAGGAAAAGGTATAACAAAAGAAGTTGATAAGGAATGGCTGGACTGGTCGAATGAAAACCGGAAGAGATGAGGACTGAAAATGCTGTTGGGATACTTGAAAGGAACAGCATCGTTAAGCATGAAATTGAGATGGGAGCAGGTTGAGGAAGAAGTGTAAGGTACAAAAAAAGAGAGACATGAATGTAGTGAGCTTGGCATTAAGTGTGACAGTGAAAGGGAGAGAGGTAGGGTGGAATGGAGGAAGAGACAGCATAATAAAGGAGTTCTTTTTGAGTAAGATGGGAGAAATTCGAGCATATTCAAATTAAATGAGAGTGGGTCAGTAAAGAAGGACAGTGGAAGATATGGGGAAAATATTGTATAATAGATGGCAGAGGTTTCCTGGAAAAGTGAGAAGAGATAGGTCCTAAGCACAAGTAGAGAATGGCTCTTGGCTGGAAGGGGGGACTGAGTGTGTGGCTGGAATGAGGTGATTCACGTCATGTTTTGTATTTCCTTTGTGAAGGATGGGAAGTCACCTGCTGAGAATGTGGAAGGATATTTGGGGAGAGAAGTTAAAGGATTTGGAGACCAGAGAAAGTTGAGAAAAGTCATGTGGAGAGAGAATGAGAGGATAGCAGAAGTAAAGGATTGCTTGACAAAGAAGCACAATTCTGCAGGTTGATTTGGCAAACTGTAACTGTTTCATTGAACTATCACTTTAATTAGATGTGTGAGGTGTTGAGAATAATGGTACAATGACCATTTTGCTTTTTAGAGAACTGTATGTTGTAAGATAATTTTTATCATGATGAATACAAAAGCAAACTTTGCTTAGGTGATTTGCGACCCTTGTAGTACAGGGATGCTGTCAAAGATCCAAGAATTGCTAACATGGTGATTGCCCTGGGGGATTCCAAAGCTTAAAAGGGTGCTGCCCAGTTCTGCAGAGAGAAACTTTAATTTTTCAAAGGGAAGTTAAGAATTGATAGATATCTGCCTATTTCTTCATTTAAAAAGGAAAGATCAAAACGCTGGAATACATTGCACATTAAAACTGAATTCAGGGAAACTCAGCATGATTCCTTTGGAGAAAAACTGGAGTAACTGGAGAGTGTAAAAAGTCTACCTCGAACTGAGAAGTAGTTTCCTAACATACTTCTTCTCAAATATAAATTGAAGGCTAGTTACTATGCAAGCTTCACTATGACAAGGATTTTAATTTGTTTTTATATACTTCGAAAACAGCTTATGAGAAAATAAAAATTCAGTTTACATATTTACTTAACATCAAGTAAATTTTTCTATAACCAGATATTTTAAGTATTACAATTTTAAAATAATTTATTATTTTTCTCAAATATGAGAGCAACTCTTTTGACATCATAGGACAGTTCAAACAATACAAATGTAAATAGGATAAAGAATGAACATTCTTTTTATTCCTCCCAGTACCCCAGATCTACTCTTCAGTCTGGAGATTATCACTGTAAAGAATTTGCTCTGTATCTTTCAGATGTAAATATACACACTTAAATATGTATTTATATACACACATGCATATTTTTATTTATATATATTAAAGGGGATACATATTGCATATCATACTGTATATATTGTTCCAAGACTTTCATTTTTACTTGATATACTATAGACCTATCACCATACCAATTCACATGGATTGATCTTATTCTTTATAATATCTGAATAGTATTTTATAAGCTGGAGGTAACATAGTTCACTTAATTATTCTCTTATTCATGGACTTTTCAATTTTCTATCTTCCTCATTTCCTTCCTTTCTACCTTCTTTCTGACCTTCTCTCCTTTCTTCTTTCCTTCCTCCCTCCATTCCTTCCTTCATAGGTTATAGGAGGCAGTCAAATAATACAATTTAAAGCTGAAATGAAATAGTATAATTCTAAGTATATAAACGAACAAACAAGCATAAACACCAAGAAAGATATTAACATTCAATAAAATTAGATAATATAGGAAAAGAAGGGAAAGGGAAGGAAGGAACAAGTTCTAAGTGAATTTTATGTATTTCTCATGATAGAGACAAATAGACATTGTCCAAAACTTGTGGGAATAGGGTATGATTAAAAGATATTAGCATAAAGATAACTACCTGAAAAAATACATTCCTTTCTAAATAGCAAAATAGATAGAAAAACAATAGCTGCAGCAACAACATAATGAACAAAGGGACCACATGGTGAAAAACTGGAAAACTACACAAATAATATGTAGTTATGACAAACTGAAAGAGCTTAACTCACCTACTATAAGAGAAAAAGATTTTCTAATTGAGCTGCAAAGCAAAACCCCACTCAATGTATGAAAGACACAACTAAAACTAAGTTCTTCAGAATAGTTAACAGGAAAAGAAAGGACACAATCAAGAGTGAGAAGGCAACCAATGGAATAGGATAAAATATTTGCAAATCACACTTGTGATAAAGGATTGTGTCTAGAATCATAAGTCAAAATAAAAAGACAACCCACTTTAAAAAAGAACAAAGGATCTGAATAGTCACTTCTCCAAAGAGTATGTACAAATGGCCAATAAACACATGAAAAGATGCTCAACATCACTAATCATTAGGGAAATGCAAATCAAAACCACAATAAAATACCATTTTAACACCGTTTAGGATGGCTACTATCAAAAAGCAGATAATTTAACTATTGGCAAGGATGTGGAGAAATTGGAACACTTGTGCACTCTTGGTGGGAATAGAGAATTGTGTAGCCACTATGGAAAACAGTGTGATAGTTCCTTAAAAAATTAAAAATAGAATGAACATACAATCCAGCAATTCTACTTCTAGGAATTGAACGTAGGGACTCAAAGAGATATTTGTACACCTATGTTCATAGCTGCATTATTCACATCAGCCAAACAGTAGAAACAACCCAAATGTCCATTGACAGATAAATAGATAAACAAAATGTAGTTTATACATACAATTCAGCCTTAAAAAGGAAGGAAATTCTAACATACTACAACATAGATGTATCTTACAGATATTATGTTATGTAAAATCAGCCAATCACAAGAGGAAAAATATTGTATGATTCCACATATATGAGGTACCTGGAGTAGTCAAATTTATAGAGACAGAAAGTAGAATAGTGGTTGCCAGGGCCTGGGAGGAGGAGTGGAAAGGGAGTTTCTGTTTAATGTCTACAGTTTCAGTTTTCCAAGATAAGAACAGTTTTGAAGATGGACAGTGGTGATGGTTGCATAACAACGTGCGTGTATTTAATGCCACTGAACTGTACAGTTAAAAATGGTTAGGGTGGTAAATTATATGATATGTGTATTATACCACATATTTTTAAAAAATCAGGTAAAAGTACAACAAATTCAAACAAAAAGAACGACAAGGATGCCAGTCTTGACAAGGTGGATATGCTGCCACAAGCAGTAAATGAGTCAAAGAAGCTTCAACTGCAAAATAAGACACAATTCAGTTATGAATATCTATACAGGAATTAATACAGCAGTAAATTTTATAAAGCAGAAACCATATAAGACAGGTAGTAAGAAGGCAAGTTAGTAAATTTTTTAATCTAAAATACTTCAAGTGAATAAAATATAAGTAAAGGATATAGAAGATTCTAGCAAATAATCAATAAGATATATCTTAAGGATTTATGTCAATTCTGTACCCTAATAATAAAGAATATACTTTATTTTCCAGCATACATGAAACAGTCATGAAAACTGGCCATGTATGTTAGGCTATAAAGAAAATCTAAATTCCAAATAGATTAATATAAGCAATGTTCTCTGATCATAGTGCAATACATTTACAACTTAAGCAAAATAAAAAGGTCATTCTCCCTAAAAATGTACAAATTTTGTATTAAACAATTCAGGTCAAAATGGAACTATAAACAAAAATTGCAGAATTTCTAGAAAAAAATAATGAAAACATTACATAGAATTTACTGGCTAGAGCTAAATGTACTCAGAGAGAAATTATTAGCTTGAAAAATATATGTGAATTAATATAAAAATAATAATAAATGGATTAAACAACCAAATCTGAAAGCTAGAGAAAGAAAAATAAGTAAAGCCAAAGAGAAAAGGGAAGAAATTAACCCAAATAAACAGAAACCTTAATGAAATAGGAAACATAAAAAGAGTAAGTAAATAAAAATCGGCTTTTTTTTAAAGATAGCAAAATAGACAAATGAAGAAAGATGCAGATAAACACAAATATAAATAACAAGAAATGATGTGGAGTAAATAACTCCTCAACTCACTGCAAATTGGTCTCTTGCCCCATTATTCAATTTATTCTCATCTGGAAAATTGAGGGAACACCTGTACGTCTCAGCCTTCATTTTACTATGTGTTTCTGCTACAGTGAATAGTGACTATTCCT